TTTCCAAGCAAAACAAAAAGAACTTTATGTATTTGTATTAATGATTTATTAATTACGTACGATGACTTACATTTCAACTCTACTAAAATCGTTTTTTGAAGTGCACTAATTCAAATATAAGATATAAAGATAGTCGAAAAGAAAAACAAAAAAAAACATATATCAATAGTTATTCTATGATAAATTAAGTAATAAAGAAAACACCTCAGTGTCAAAATAAGGAATCTGAAACAAGCGAAAATTTGGAACGATGTTGACTTTGCAAAAACTCAAATGAACTTTTCACTTTTTTCTCTCTTATTTTACCCTTTCTCCTTTCTCTCTCGATTTCAGTTCATCCATTACGTGGAAGTTCAATTGATATTCATCCGAATGCTCGATGGCAACAAAATGGTATCACTGTAGCTGGAGGAAATCAACAAGGCAATGGAATCAATCAACTCTCAAACCCATCGGGTTTGTATGTTGATGATGATCAAACAATCTATGTTGCTGATCGAGCGAATCACCGTATTGTGGAATGGAAACGAGGTACAACGAGTGGCCAAGTGGTTGCCGGTGGAAATGGACCAGGAAGTGGAGATCATCAATTGTCTAACCCAACAGATGTGATTATCGACAAAGAGAGAGATAGTCTCATCATATGCGATACTTCGAATAGAAGAGTGGTTCGATGGCCTCGTCGAAATGGGATAAGTGGAGAAACAATCATCTCCAACATCTATTGTTGGGGTTTGACAATGGACGAGAATGGATCTCTCTATGTCACTGATGTTGGAAAAAATGAAGTGAGACGATATCAAAGAGGAGAATCTCAAGGAACAATGGTTGCAGGTGGCAATGGACGTGGAAATCGTCTCGATCAACTCTCTTACCCAACATACGTATTCGTCGATCGAGATCATTCAGTGTATGTATCTGATTGGAGAAATGATCGTGTGATGAAATGGATGGAAGGTGCAAAACAAGGCATTGTCGTGGCTGGTGGTCAAGGACAAGGAAATGATCTTACACAATTGTTATCTCCTCTAGGAGTCGTTGTCGATCAATTGGGCACTGTCTATGTGGCTGATGAAGGGAATAATCGAATCATGCGTTGGCCTAAAGGAGCCACCCAAGGAAGTGTCATTGTTGGTGGAAACGGTAGTGGAGAACAATCGAACCAACTCCATTTGCCCGCCGGTTTGTCATTCGATCGACACGGGAATCTCTATGTCGTCGATTGGGGAAATCATCGAGTCCAAAAATTCGACCTTCAATCCAATCCAAAGTGAACCCAAAAACATACAAATAACATTCTAAAAATTTTCATAAATGCCTCACCCCATTAATTAATTACTTAGTTAACTAATTAATTAATTAACAAAAGTAAAAATTAATTAACAGTCTATTCCAATCACATTGTAGACGAATAAATACAACTAACCTTAATTCGATACAAAAACACACATTCTATAGTAGGAAACCTTAAAAACACATAAAAAGGGAAACAACGAAACACTAGGGAGACCTGGCTGACTTTCCTAAAAACGGAAACCTTGGATTTTCCCTGACGATTCCAAGGATTCCATCAGAGGAAACAAAGTGTGGCATTTCGAATATTGTAGATCATGATGACT